CTATCCACGTGCTTTCTCAGAAACGCTTGGGTTTCCACTTCTCCAGGTCATGCTATTCTTCCCGACACAGCAGATCCATCCTAAAGCAGGCAGGAATGTGCAGGATGGAGGAGGCCGGATGGGCATTCACTTCTGGCTCATTTATTGGGCCTTGACTCCGGAAGAGGCACTCAGGGTCACCCCTGGAGGTTTGGCCCATCTTGTCCCCACACTGGGCCCTGTTGCCCCTGCCATTCGCCTGCCCCTTGCCAAGTCCTGGCATAGCTTTGGCTTCCCCTGCAGTTAACAGGTGTCTCCTGATTTCTACGAGGTTGAAATAATTGTGTCTTTTGGGCCCATAATCCAGTATTTTGAGCAAATAAAATTCTGTCAGTAGTTTCCCAAGGGAGGAAAGGTGCCCTGGAAGTTTGTAAGATGATATTAAGTGGCCCATTAGTGATACTTTTTATTTTAATCGTCACGTGTGCTTTACTGAAGCAGGGTAGTGTGGGATTCTGAACTCTACCCATTTGTCACCAACCGGCTGAGCCATGGGACCTCGGACAAGGTACTTAACTGCTCTGGGTCCCTCTTTCTTCACCTTGAATTTTGGAAAACCGTAGATATTAGGAAAACTCGCCTAGAAGTTCTAAAGCCTCCTTTTATAGAGGAGTCACTGAGGATCAGAGAGGTAACTTGCCCAGGGTAACCCAGCTGGCCAGAGGCAGAGCTGGGGCGCCCCCCCGGCTCTCCTGACTTCCAGGGCTTTGTTCTTTGCACTGTGGAAGCTGCATCGCTTTGCCTGTCCCTCACCCTGGAAGGCCTGGGAGTGCCACCCCTACTGGTTTTGTACAAGTGAAGAAGGAAAGGTATTCGGAATGGGTTCTGTGAATGCCCATCATACCCTCTCAACATAACCACAGCTAACGTCTCTTGAGTTTTTACCAGACATTTCTCAGTGCCTTATTTATTTATTTATTTTTTATTGATTTTTAGAGAGAAGGGTAGGAAAAGGGGGAGGGAGGGAGGGAGGGAGGGAGGGAGAGAGAGAGAGAGAGAGAGAGAGAGAAGATAAACATCTATCAGCTGCCTCCTGCACACCCCCTACTGGGGATCTGGTCCACAACTCAGGCATGTGCACTGACCAGGAATCGAATAGGCCACCTTGTAGTGCACTGGACGATGCCCAACCAACTGATCCACACTGGCCAGGGCACCTCAAAGTGCTTTAGACGGAGCAGTGGTTTCCAGAGTGTGGTCCCTGGGCCATCAGCATCACCTGGATGCAGGTAACCCTCAGGCCCCCCGGCCAAGCCCCGAATCGGGAGCTCCGGGGGAGGGCCCAGCTCTCTGTGCTAAGAAGCCTCGCAGGGGTCTGGTGCAGGCTCGAGTTAGAGGGCCACGGCCTCCAGGTCCTCAACAGCTCCTTGAGGGTTAAGCAGTGGGATGTCCCTGAAATACAGGACAAGTAGCAGCAGGGAGATGGAGACCAAGGTCCCCTTCTGCTGCGTGTGCATCCAGTAAGCGTGAGTAAGCAGCTCACCACCCGCGCCTTCTTGCACCCAAGCGTCTGGTCCTCACAGCAACCCAACAGGGCGCCCATTTTTACATGCATTTTACAGATGAGCCGGTGAGGGTCAGGGACGTTACATGCCTGCTTCAAGGTCACACGGCGACGCAGCGTTGAAGATGCAGCTCAAACCCAGGTCCCCTGACTCTCGTTGGTTTCATCACTCCCTCGTCTGGGCCTCTGTCCCCAGCTGTGCTTCTCCGGCTGCCACGTGACAGCAGCTGCCTCCCCACCTGGCCCCTGCCCAGGAGGCTGCAGCTGCGGCCCAGCATCACACTGAGCCTAACTTTTCGCCATTTTTAAATTGGTTTCCCCTCTCACTCCCACTTCTGCTGTTCCCCTGATAGGAGCCGGTTTTCCCTAAATCGTGCCCCCTGGCAGAATGCCCTGCAGGGTGTACCAGGCCTTCTGGGTCACTGCGGATGGTGTTGCTAGGGCAACAGGGCTGGGCAGAGTGTTGATGACTTTTGCCAGGACCACCGTTCGTTTGCCTCCATCCTGTAGTTTGGTCTGAATTTCTTTTGGGACGATGCTTATCTTCCCCACCTGGCTGATATGTGAAAACAGCCCTAGGGGATTTTTTTCTGTCACATTGGAAACGCCAAGAAATGCTCTTGTCCTGCCTGAGTTCTTCCTGCGAGTCCTAACAGTGACAGCGGCTGAGCCCAGCAGCATCGGAGCGAGCCTAGGTCACAGCGACGGCTCTCCTACCTACACATCCAGGCACACGTTCACAGCGTACACGGTGGGCAGCGGGAGCCTCCATGGGCCTCCTTAGAGAGAGCCTTGTGGTCCATGTGTCTGCGGAGTTTGCTAAGCTCCTTAGGCTTTCTCCGTGCAATTACATATCCCCATGTGTGGCACCGGGGTGCGCTCCTGCTTCGTTTCACTTTAGGGGTAAGCACTGTGTCTGTGAAGTTTCAGTCTTCCCCTCCAGCCTCCAGGACAGAGGGGATGTGAGGAAACGGCACCAGAATTGGTCAGGAAACTTGGCTCATTCAAAAGGTGTGGAAGCCAGTTGGCATGGCTCGGTGGTTGAGCATCGACCTATGAACCAGGAGGTCACAGTTCGATTCCCGGTCAGGGCACATAACCGGGTTGCAGGCTTTATATCCCCAGTGTGGGGAGTGCAGGAGGCAGCTGATCAATGATTCTCTCTTCATTGATGTGTCTATCTCTCCCTCCCTCTCCTTTCCACTCTCTGAAATCAATACAAATACATTAAAATAAAAACAAAGGAGTGTAAGGGTGTGATGCAGGGCCAAAGGCCTGGGCAGGCCAGAGGGAAACCGGGGAGGGGTGCCAAGCTCCCTGGAGGGAGTCACTGCAACCCCCTGGGTTGGGGTGGGAGGTGGGGGCCTTGTGAAACCAGCAGGAACTGGAGGTGTAGGAGGGCCCCTGGCAGGAGCGGGAAATCTGACCTGTCCTTGCCGCCCTCATTGACCAAACTTCTCCAGAACCCAGCAGTTACAGGAGCCTGCAATTCGGTCTATAAAGGCCGGGCTCCCCGGAACAGAGGAAGCTGGGGAAGGGTAGAGAGAGGGGGTCTGGAGGGGCAGATAAGAACATCACCCCGCACCTATCCAGGCCTTGTCACCAGTAAAGGCCGGTGTGACATCTCTCGAGTGCAGGGAGGAGGGCTCCTGACCGCCTTCCTCTACTTAAAGAGGGTTTCTTGCGGCAGCTCTTTTGACCACTTGGGCAGTATCATTCTTGGCCGTGAGGGCGGTCCTGTGCGTTGAGGGATGTTGAGCAGCATCCCTGCCCACCCGAAGGAGAGATGAGCAAAAGGACTCCAGACATTGTCAGAAAGCTCCAGGGGCCAGGGAGTGAGTGAAGCGCTGTCGGGGCCCAGAGGCTGACGGGCGGGACGGGCCTCTCCCTGAGCTGGAGGAGCAGGTGTGGTGCGGGATGGTGAGCCTGACTGCAGGATTTCTGAGACAGTGAGGATCCTGACGAAGCTGAGGTCTGGCTTATGGCGCTGAGCGCGGGTGGCCCGGGGGAGGGAAGGCCATTGGGACTGAAGACGCGGTGTTGAATGCTTCACCCCGGCGTGGTGAGGCTTCCCTTGCTGGTGTCGCAGGTGGGGTGTCATTGTTCTCAGAGCCAGAGTGGGAAGGGCCAGGGTCTCAGGACTGTATTCTGCTGTAGCTGACGAGGGTAACGGGAAGCCAGAAGCCCTGCCACGGGAGGGAGGGCTGTGGGTAGTTCTGACCATGCAGAGGCACCTACGGAGCACCCTCCATTATTTAAATGTCAGGTGCCAAAGGGAACATACTTGTTCTGTGCTTCTCCCTGGACAGAAAGAGGCTGCAGGGGGTTGGGAGGCTGGTGCCCAGGCCAGGAGGGCCTTGCTTTTGTAGAAGAGACAACATGGAGAGGGTGAACTCTGCACTCCGGAGCTGTTTTGAGAGAGGCTGGATGGCTGCCTGTTGGGGGTGCCCTGGAGCAGGACTTTCCCATCTGGTCAAGTCTTGCCCATTTTATTATAGAAAAGGCTAACTGTAGAGCACCAGGGTGGAAACAGGCAAAGTTGCTCGCAGCAGAGGGTGCCGAGCCTGAGGGACCTGCCCTGCCGGTAGCAGGAGAGCTTGAAGAGATGAGTACCTCCATCGCCTGGAGTTCATGTACGGCACACCAAGGCGCTGAGGCACCCCGTTTGGGAAGCTCGGTGCTCAAGGACGTTTGTGCTGTGACTGGAATGCAATGTGCCCAGTGCTGTATTCTACTTTTGGCATCTTTCCCGCACATGCTCCATGACATTCTGCAGGACGTGTTATGTGACACGGTGTCACCTGACACTACACTACCTGACACTACATTCGCAGGGTCACCTTGGGTTAAAGGACAGAGCCAGGATTCATTCATTCACATCTGGGGCCCATGCTCTTGACTACTTAGATGATAAGATCCATCAGGCTCCCTTCAATCTGCCAGTCTTCGATTCTTTGAATGATACCGAGCTGTGGCCCATATTGACCCCTCTGCCCCTCTGCCATGTTATCAAGTTGACCCGAACCTGAGACAGTTCACGGGAACATTTCACAAGCTCTCAGAGCCACCTCTTCTTGGTCTGAGATCCCTGATGGCCAGCTCATCCTTTTGGGGCATATTTTCTTTCCTCTCTCTGGTTGCCATCTGTCATCGTCTCCAGCTTGGGGGCAGGGAGCTCACTGTTTGTCTGTTTGAGCCAATTGCCATGTCTCTCATCCCCAAAATGTAATTGAAAAGAGCCTTAATGGTTTCCAAATGATGATAGCTCCATAAACCGATTAAAAAGGCTTAATAAAACTGTCTCGGGTTATTTTCCAGAGCTGCAGCCTGTGTTCTTTGTTTTCTGATGATCCCAACAAGAAGTAAAGGCCATTTTTCTTTGTCATGCGGTCGGAAGCCCTGGGAAGGCCCTTCTCCATGGGTCTAACTGCTCGCCCTGTTTTTGTTTGCTCCCCAGACGATCCACGTTGCTATTGTCTGCGCAGGATACAACGCCAGCCGGGATGTCGTCACCTTGGTCAAGTCTGTCCTGTTTCACAGGTGAGCGCGCTGGCTACTTTCTGCAGGTCTGGCGATCTGCTTATGTGTGTTTCCAGGGGGAAGGGTTAAATCCAAGCACCCTTTCATCAGACATTCAAGCTGCCATGAAGATTTAACTTTTGCCTGAGACCTTGGGGAGACTATCTGTGTATGTAAAAGGCGAATATGCGAAGTGTCCATCTGACCAGTAGCTATGATGTGCACTGACCACCAGGGGGCAGACACTTAACGCAGAAGCTGCCGAGCTGCAGTGACTTGGCAGTAGCGGTTCTTGGATGACACACCCCACCGGAAACCAGAGAGGAGGGAGCCCAATTCCTTGCAGGGCTGCACGATTCCACCTTTGGCCACAGGTTATGTTGTTGCTGGGGCACTGCCAACCCTGAATCTGGCTTACTGCACACTTGCGTTTACGTTCCACACCCCGTATGACAGCAACTTTGCAGCGTGCCCTCTCGCACTCTGGGACTTCTTGGGGCATGTCAAAGAGCCGGTTTTGGCCTGATCCTCACAGGCCAGGCCGAGGGACCTCACCTGCCAGGGGGTCCCTGCTCACTCTGCAGATGCGCTTCGAGCCACAGCACCACTCTAGGTGCAGCTGGCCTGGGAGAGACTGCGGGAGATTGGCCCCAGGATGTGTCCAGCCTGTCTCGCTCAGTCCCGCCCCACCGGCCACCTTCTAATTAATTTCCTTTCAGTGTGCGTGAATCCATGCACCGGGTCACTAGTTGCGTTAATAATGTTTAATAGTAGCGATTAGGTGCTGTCTCAGTGTTTAGAATTGCAGCTTTTAGACCTGAAGGGACCTTCAAGGACACCCCAAATTTAATGCTCCAGTTCTTCATCAGCTTCCCTTGCCTGACAGTCACCAGACCTCTCTGTGTACACGTCCCTGTTGCCAGGTTGTGGCTGAATTGTGTGTGTCGCCCCAAAATACTTTATCTGTAGCTCTAATCCCCAGCAGCTCAGAATGTGACTGAATCTGGAGATAGGATCTTTAAGGAGGTGATTCAATTAAAATGAGGTCAATAGAGTTGGCCCTAATCTGGTATGACTGGTGCCCTTATGGGAAGAGATTAGGACACAGACTCACACAGTATGAAGACCATGTGAGGACATGGAGAAGACAGCATCTACGAGCATCTACAGCTAAGACAGGAGGCCTGGGAAGAAACCAACCCTGCCGACACCTCAGTCTTGAACTTCCAGCCTCTACTGTGAGAAATTCTTTCTATTGGTTAAGCCACTCAGTCTGTGGCATTTTGTATCATTCCGTGGAATTTTGTTACAGCAGTCCTAGCAAACTAAAACAGGTTGCATTGTCTTTTCCATTGTAGCCTGGCCCACCTCTCACCATTTCTGACCATTAGAGAGTCCCTGCCTTATGTGACAGTGCAAATTCCAACCTACAGATGATATCCGTGGCCCTTGGGGTCCACATGGAACCAGCCCCACGAAGGACAGATGCCTCTTCCTCCTGGAGATGCCTGCCTTCCTGAGTCATCGCTTCTTCCCCTTAAATTCCAGGCGTTTTTTCCCCCGGGACTTTCCTTCTCTGTGTTGAGTGATACCTCAGCATCCTTAGGGTCTATCAAGATTGAACCCCCAGTTCCAGCCAGTGTCCTTGGCTCCGTTCAAAGAAACTTCCCAAGGTTTGGATGAAGCTTACCCAGAGCTTTAGCCGACAGCATACAAATGTATCAGGTGACGGGGTCAGGATCCAGAAGGTTCTCAGCAGTAGGAATAGTCACAGAAATCTCCGCGTTCAGTTGAACAGAGATGAATGGAAAGTTTGATGCTAGAATCCAACTGTCAGAGGCATCAACAGAGGCAGGAGAAGCTAGCAACATGATCCTTACACCCTCCGGGGTGGGGCTCTCAGCTCCTCCTCATCGCCCTGTCCAGTTGGCATGGTGCCTTCGGAGGAAGGAAATGGGAATGGCCAAGTGGGGCTCTACCCCACATCTTCCCAGGTGTGGCGGGACGCCCCTCCCACACCACCGCAGCTCCTGGGTCCTTTCTAAGACTCGGCGTGGTTCTTCACCTTCATCGGCCACTTGAAAGCAGGCGTTTTGGAACTGAGCATTGAATTCAATGAGTGGTAATCAGCCTTTGATGTAATTATTCCTTCTCTCCACTAAAGAACTCAGGGCCCTCCTCGATCGGGGAAAAAAAAAACCGAAAAACCACTCTTCAGAGAAGCCTATTTCTATGACCACAGACCATCAATTATGTTATTTCTCAAATTTATGGCCAGTTTTCAGGTCACAGAACCTTCTGGTGGTCGTGTTTGGTGTAAATACTATTGCTGTTGCTTTAGCTACAGATCCGATAATCCCGATAGTTGCCGAAATGGTGAGAATTCTATTGAGTGCAAACTCTTACTCCTATGGTAATGACACAGCAACCTGTAAAAAATGTAATGTAAAAATAGCAGTTGTTGCACCATCACGGGGGCATGGAGATTTGAGAAGAAAGCACCTACTTCTGAGGTGTTATGAAAATTCTGCACCCCACGTCAGTGACCAAATAACCACTTCCGCCCTCCCACCCAAGAAATTCGACCAATGAGAATGGTCCTGTGAATTGATAGGCAGGGGCTTGTGAGTTTAGATATTGAGATAGCAGGACTTTTGAGAGGGTTTTCAGCTCAGAAAGTCCAGCTATAAATAGTTTCCTTGCTTCTAGCGCACGTTACGGGGATTAACACACACATGATGATAAAGCACTTTGACAAATGAGGTTCCTTCTAATGGAAAGAATAATATAATAATAGTAGGGCAGGATGGCTCTTTCGGCTTTCACTGTGAATTACAGTAATTAGATTTGTTTTCCAGACAAGGTTTTCGGCAGATTTTCATTGAAGGCTTGCTTTGTTACTCGAAATCAATGTTACTTCTGCAGTCTGCCCGCTGACGGTAGGCACGCTCTATTATGAAAGGTAGGAAAAGAGTGATATGGACACTCATACACATGGACGCCGGCACTGAAAATGGCTAGGGCAACTTTTTGGAAAGAAATGTCATAGTAGTATGCCCAAGACCATGATCCGACATGACTGCGTTAGGGGCTCTGTCTTAAAAGGCTAATCCTAACACACAAAGGCTTTTGTGACATATTACTTATAGTTAGAAAAATGAGTAGCACTTATAAACAGTAAGGTTAAATAAATGGAACATCCTCTGACACTAAACCACGTTCTTGGTTGGTTTTAAGAAGGACATCATAACATAGACATAAATGATATTTTATGATATAAAATAAGTGACAGCAGAATTCAAAAACGTATGCATGCCCTAGTCAGTTTAGCTCAGTGGTTAGAGCGTCGGCCTGTGGACCAAAGAGTCGCAAGTTCGGTTCCAGTCAATGGCACATACCTCGGTTGCAGGCTCCTCCCTGACCCAGACCCTGGTCGGAGGCAACCAATGGATGTGTTTTCTCTCACATTGATACTTCACTCGGTCTCTCCCTCTCTTTTCCACTCTCTAAAAATCAATGGAAACATATCCTTGGTGAGGATTTAAAAACAATGACAAAAAACAACAACATATGCATAGTATCATTCCACTATATAAACATGTCACATACACACAAATTCACAGCTACCTGGTGTGAATACAGGGCGTAGAAGACTAGCAGAAAAATAAATTTAAAAATGGAAATTTTTGCATGTTGTGGTTGGGGGTGATCTTGCTTTTGTTTTCTCTTTACATATATTTTGGTCATCTCAGTATGCAGCCTCTATGGTGAAGAAAAAGCTGATGAGAATATAATAAATCAAAATATAGGTGAACAAAGGCTTATCTAATAGAAAGTAGCACAATGTAAATAAAGTCTTTGTCACCTGGCTGGAAAGATGAGAAAAATGTGGGGAAGCCTGTAACTCCAATCCCAATTGCAAATAAACTGGGAAATATAGCTGCTCTTCAAGGAAACGGAGCTTTTAGTGAGCCGAGAAAGAAAATATTTATTTAGTAACTTACATGTTTACCTCCTGGGCAGGAAAGTTGGCCAGCTTGTAAAAATTTAATATTTGCTTGCTGGGATGATCTACTTACTCTCACACTCAATAGTCCTGTTCGTAGGAGGGAGCGTGGTGATTCCCTCACTGTGCATATCAAGCAGCTGGGTTGTTGTTTTGGGTGTTTTGTTTGTTTGTTTATATTATTTTCACATGTGCCCCTGAAGACCGTGGAGGATAAAACAGCATATTCGTGACCAGTATCTGCCTCTAACTGTCTTACTGCTTATTCAGGCTTAAACTTATTAGAGAAGCAGTTTCCAGACTGTGAAGGGAGGAACTAGGATTTGAATAAAACCAAGAACCAGAGGTAGATGGGGATTCTGGTCTTGCCATCCATGAGCTGGGAGCCACTAGGCAAGTCACTGTACTTGGAGCTCTGGCTGGTCCCCAAGCTGTCACTGAGCCTGACTACCAGAGGAGATGATCTGTGTGAAGCATCTCTGCATTTTATTTATTTAACAAATACGAATGCATTAGGCTCTATTCCTCGTGTTTTTCAGATATGAGTGCATAGGTTTCTTTGAGGTGGATACTGCTATTGTCCCCATTTTACAGATGATGAAACCGAGGATCAAGATGTTAAGTCAATGCAGAGAGGATGAGCAAGGCCAGGTTTGATCCCTGTCAACCTAACTTCAAAGTCTGAGCTTTCATTCAGAAAAAAAAAAGTTACCCTTTTGAGTATCATTATTCTTTTATTTTTAATTATCATTTTGGGGGGACCATGTAGACATTGCTATCACTATTGTGACTCTTCATAGTCGTCTTTATCCTCTCAGGTGGTTATTTTTAGGGTACTGAGTATGAAATAAATGGAAGTTTTAAAGGCCTGGATGACTTAAGACAATACCATAGAATAAAGAAAAGAAAAAAATGATAACTATAGGAGAGGAAGACTATGTTAATTGACTTGATTGTCATGATTATTTCATAATGTATAAATATGAAACCATCACCTTAAATGTTTATGATACTT